GCGTTTCTGCCACTCTCCTGCCACCTTCCTGCGCACTGCCAAAGCAAGCACAGGGCAGACGCCGGTCGGAAGAAATATGTATCACCATGAGGTAGAAAACATTTAAATAGACGCAAGTTAGGCCCGCCCCAGAAAACTGAAACCAACAGGAAACCGCCTCGATCCTTGAAACAGAAAGGCACTTGAAACCGATAAGGATCTCCTATCAAAGAACGAACACGGCTACCAATTTTGTATTGCAACCCTGGAGAGATAGGGTCAGCACGGACTCTGGTACATCGTTAGTCAACATCCGGCCCAATGACGCTCAACCCGGCTGAATCCAGCCCAAATCATCACCACGAATACCTCCCTTCGGGCGATGGCAGGACTGGGCGTAGTGGGACCTGGTTTAGTGATCTGGACTGGCGACGCCCCCCCGTCCCATTCCACAAGCCGGGATTGCCGTCACCCGAAAAGCACCACCTGCGGCAGACCTGGTTTAGTGATTCCAGTCCATATTATGGGCTCCGGGGCCCAATCGCTAACCGGCTCCCCTTAACCGGGGTCCTGGCTATACCCGATCCCTGACAACAGACAAAAGGCATCTACACACCACCACCGTGCCTGGCCAGGGCCTTCCTGGGCCCTGGCACCGTGTATACGCTCTCCTGGCCTCGGCCAAACGGGCCCACCCACCATCTTCAGGCCCTGGCTTAACCCTGACCCAGGTACGGCGGTGTTGTACAAACGACTTCTGCGGAGATACCCCTCTCGGTGGCGCTGAACTCTGGCCCCGTTCGGGCGGCCGCGCGCCCCGCAGCCGGCAAGCAGCTCGCCCGCGAGCAGCGCCGCGGCCCCGGCGGCCATGGCCCGGCGGCAGGGCCTCAGCGGCGCGGCCGGCAGCCGCAGGAAGGCGGCGCGCCCGGTCGCAGCGGCCACGAGGCACGCCGCCGCCAAGGCGGGGTGGCGCGCGCGCGGGGCGGCGGCTGGCCGCAAGGGTCTCCTCCGTCGCGGCCATGGCGCTCCGGGGACCCTCGACCTCCACCTCGCTTCGCACCCTCCGCTCGGCGGCGGCTGCCGCCGCGGCCGCAGCGGCGGCCGCCGAGACCGCCATGGCGACCTCGGCTGCCGCCGCGGCCGCGCCGCAACGGCACCTGCCGCGCAGAAGGTTCGAAAGGTGGAGGTCGAGTGGAGGAGTGGCGCTTTCATCTGCTCCCCGATTGAGCGAGGCGGACGCCAGCTTGAGCCGCTCGAGCCTCGTCCCCCTCCGTCACGACGCGGGCGTTTCGACGGGGAGGGCGGAGGGAAGCGGATGAGGAGGAGCCGTAGGCCGAGAATCATGTCATGATGCGGTTCGCCCAGGATACCCGACTCAGCGGCGCGGCCACACGGCCCCTTGAGGCGCAAGCCGCTTGCGCCGTGCAAGCCGCGCCCGCAGACCCCAGGCGCCCTGCATGCGGCGGGCACCCGAGCTCTCGACCCCGTCCCTCGGACTGGTGTCCCGTCCCCTGGCAACTGTTAGATCCTGTAACGGCAACAGCCGTTCGCCGTTGCAAGCACTGGGCAAAGACTCATCTCATGCTGGGACGACTAGGATGCAAATGGCAGTTGAAATTGCAATGCTGCTGGAATGGATTTGGCGTGTCCAGGGAAGTCTCGTGGAGGGCCTCCTGGACGTCACTTCGGGCCTCGTTGAGATCCTGTTTGGGACTCTCTTGGGAAATCTTCGAGCAGGAGTGGGGCACTGGTGGACAGCTATCTTGGCTTGGGCCCCCTTGGGCTCATCCAGGTACCTTTTGGAGCTGTACTGGGACCCTCTGGAAGGGGGATTCGACTTGCTGTTACACCTTCTTGTAACTTTGTTCACGCTACGCGCTCGCAAAAGACTAGACCGACACAGGCAGACCAGTGTGAAACTCCAGGCGCACTAGTAACGCCCAGTTGGGAGGTCATTAGAAAGGCGAAATAATAAGGCGGCTTGGAGGCGCGACGAGTCACGAATGCGTGAATTTCTCGCGGGAGCAAGGCCTGCGCAGCCATATATGCAGTGCAGCGGAATGACAAACATTCGAACATGGAAAACGAGACAGCACGACATTTGAAAAGAGACCGATCGACAAGAAGATCGACCAAAGACAAAAACCCGGGAACCAAAAACCCCGCCGCCCACCGAAATCGGCCCGGACCCCAAAACTCGAAACCCGGGAACCCAGAACCGGGAACCCCGGAACCTGGCCGCCCACCGAAATCGGCCCAGAACTTCCGCCAAATCCCTCAATCTCCGCTAGGACCTCTTCACTGCAAGCACTGATTGGGGAACGACGGAAGCAAAACGTCGATCCGAAAATGCGGCCCAAGCTGCACCAGGAGAACCATGAAACAATCGGACTGTGAAAAAAAACTGCTTCGAGCAATCCACACCATAACATTCGGATATTGTTCCTGACGGCGCGCGCGCCCTCTGGAAAGACGCCTTCTGTTATCGTCAACGCTCAACTTGGCGATTATAGTATGCCCTTTTGCTTCTTGTACGCTAAAAGTCTGTCTTATTATCATGTTCTCGTTAACTCCGTCATATCTGTTTACTGTCTACTGCGGTCCCTCTGTCTGCTCCAAACAAATGTTTTCACGATGCTACATGTTCTGGTATGTCCTACTCTCTTATATACTTAGCAGCAGTTTTAGTAGTAGCGTCAGTACTAGCAGCAGCAGAAAGAGCAGCAGCAATAGTCGTCATCGTCGCCGTCGTAGTCGAACATGCAGAAGTAGTAGGGTAGTAGCTGTAATGGTTGAAGACGAAATACCACGAGTTCTAACAGTAGTGGCAGCCCCGCGTGACGTCATGACTCGTGTCAGGTTTGATACGTTGCCCAATCTGCCGTTGGTTGGCCAGCCCAACCTTGGTGCGCACGTCGCGATCGATACTATTAGAATACAATACATGTTGACGTGGTGTTCCTCATCACGTATGGCTCATTTTGTTCTAAAGTAGGTTATTCGACACTGCGGCGCCACAGTATGACATGCTAGGTTTTCAAACGCATGGTATGCTATGAGGCATCACTGGTGTTGAATACACTATGTGTTCGGCCCACCGTCGTGAAATATGGTATGCCATGTTATGGTACACCCGTTCAACTAGGGTATCGCAAATCGTGTTGTATCCAAGTGGCGGCCTTACTGGTAGCAACAGGTCAACATGTATGGTATAGCATGATGGTTGCGCTGTGTCCTGATGTTCGTCTGCCGTATGTTTACACGCTACGATGTTCTAACACGTGCGTTACGGTCATGGCCAACGTGAACATTAACGTATGGCGGTACTATGATATGTTCTGATCTACCCTACGATGCTCTGGCATGTCATGTTATGCGTTGGGATGTCGTGTTATGCCCGGTCTTGCGTTTCTTCCGCCATGCTTGTTTCTACGTTATGCTATGTTCGGCTTCGTTGAAACAGTTATGCCACGAGCTGGTATGGTATGAGTTGTCGGAATATGGAATGCGGTGGTTTGCGATTGTGTTATGTTATGATATACCGGGTCATTGCGTGAAATGTGATGATCCAGTCTACTATGTGGTATGCTACGTGACGGTTACTGGCGCTACTCTTTGATGTAATGTGTGGTGATATGATCTGCTATAAATGGTCCGCTGTGCCATTGTATGCGCTGTTGTGTTGTCCCACCATGGTATGTTATGATGGGCTGTGTTATGTTATGCATTGCTACGTTCTGGTGTTATGATATGTGGGAAGATGCTACAATGGAGGGTGCGCCGCTGGATCTCCCCAAGGGGGGGGGGGTTAGGGCCCCCCCCCCCCCCCCCCCCCCCCCTTCCCCGATCCGTCGTCGGGGACACCCCCCCCCCTCCCCCCCTTTCCCCGACCCGTCGTCGGGGACCCCCCCCCCCCCCTCCCTCCCTTTCAAAAGGGGGGGGGGGGGTCCGCCCCCCCCCCCCCTTCGCCACGCCGCCCCTGACTCCGGAACCTAACCCCGCCACCCCTACCCCTGGTCCTCACCCTAACCCAACCCCCTAATCCTAACCCCAACCACAAACCCCAGCCCCAAAGAGTACTCACTACTCATTACTCACTACCCACTACTGACTACCCGCTATTCGCTAGTCACTTATCACTACCCCCTACTCGCTACTCACGACTCAATACTCACTATCCAATACTCACTACCCACCACCCACTACTTGCTACTCGCTACTCCCTACTCACTACTCCCTCCTCCCTACTACTCACCCCTCACTACCCACCACTGAATACTCACTACTCACTAAGCACTACTCACTACCCCCTGCTCACTACTCACTAATCACTACTCATTACCCACTATCCACTACTCACTACTCCCGACTAACTACTCATTGCCCACAAATCAGTACTCACTACCCACTACTCGTTACTCCCTACTCCCTACTCCCTACACAGTACTGACTAAACACTACTCAGTACTCACGACTCGCTACTACCATACTCGCTAGTCAATACTCACTACTCGCTCCCCGCTACTCACTATTCACTAATCACTACTTACTACTCCCTACTCACTACTCACACAGTCTCTAGTCACTAGACACAGTTCACTAGTGCCTGGTCACTAGTCACTACTCACTACCCACTACCCACTACTCAGCAATCGCTACTCACTACCCACTATTCGCTGCCCTTTCTTACTATTCACTGCTCACTACTCCCTACTCCCTACTCCCTACTCAGTAATCACTACTCGCTACTCATTACTCGTTACTCACTAACCACGACAAACTACTCACTACGGACTACTCTATACTCACTACCCGCTACTCACTACGCCCTACTCGCTCCTCACTACTCACTACTCGCTACTCCCTACTGGCTAATCACCACTCACTACCCAGTGCCACTACCCACTATTCTCACTACTCACTACTTACTACGCACTACGTACTACTCAGTACTCAGTACTCACTACTCACTACTCACTACTCACTACTCGCTACGCAGTACTCACTTCTCACTACTCACTACTCACTACTCACTACGCACTACGCATTACCCACTACCCACTACTCACTAATCACTACTCGCCACCCACTACTCACTACCCACTACTCACTACCCACTACTCATTACTCCCTACTCCCTACTCAGCACTCACTACTCGGTACTCGCTACCCACTACCCACTACTCACTACTCGCCACTCACTACTCACTCATCAATACACACTACTCACTATTCACTACTCACTACTCCCCACCCCTTACCCCCCACTCCCTACTCGCCACCCACTACCCACTACTCACTACCCACTACTCACTACTCACTACGCACTAACTCACTACTCACTACACACCACTCCCTACTCCCAACTCCGTAATCCCTACACGAGAGGGGGGGGGGTCCGACCCCCCCCCCCCTCCAGCGCCAGGGGGGGGAGGGCGGGGGGTCCGGACCGCATGTGGACCGAATCCCAACCAACTGGGCCCAATCCCAACCAACTGGGACCAATCCCATCCAGTGCGAAAAGCAAACTGGGCCAAATCCCGACCTGCTTGGGATAGCCTCACAATAGGATTTCAATTGGTGAGAAGCCCAAGACGACTGTGAAGACCAAGTGACACCCCTTATGTCAACGCAGACGTTCTGGAAGCCAACATACGTGCTAGAGTTGGAATTGGTCCCAGTTTTGGTCTGCGCAAGAGCACTATGTTAAGATGAGCAAGAGGGCACCGAAGCGTAAGCGAAACCGCACCGAATTGCATCGATTCTAAAATATGCAACATGGATCCTCCTATTAGTAGTAGTAATAGTAGTCGTAGTAATAGTAGTAGCAGCAGCAGTAGTAGTAGTAGTAGCCGTAGTAATAGTAGTAGTAGTAGTAGTAGTATTATTAGTAGTAGTAGTAGTAGTAGTAGTAGTAATAGTAGTAATAGTAGTAGTAGTAGTAGTAGTAGTAGTAGTGGTAGTAGTAGTAGTAGTAGTGGTAGTGGTAGTAGTACGAGTAGAAACAGTAGTAGTACTAGTAGTAGCAATCGTCGTAGTCGTAGTCGTAATAATAGCAGTACTAGTGGTAGTAATAGTAGTAGTAGTAGTAGTAGTAGTAGACGTAGAAGTAGTAGTAGCAGTAGTAGTAGAAATAGTCGTAGTAGTAGTGATAGTAGTAGCAATAGTAGTAGCAGTAGTATTAGTACTAGTGGTAGTAGAAGTAGTAGTAGTAGAAATACTAGTAGTAATCGTAGTAGTGGTGGTGGTAGTAATAGTCGTAGTAGTAGTAGTCGTAGTCGTAGTTGTAGTTGTAGTAGTCGTAGTCGTAATGATGGTAGTAGTAGTAGTAGTAGTAGTAGTAGTCGTCGTCGTCGTAGCCGTTGTCGTTGTCGTAGTCGTAGTAGTAGTAGTCGTAGTAATAGGAGTACCCGTAGTGGTAGTAGTAGTAGTAGTAGTAGTGATAGTAGTAGTAGTAAGAGTAGTAGCTGTCGTAGTAGTAGTAGTCGTAGTCGTAGTAGTAGTAGCAATAGTCGTAGTAGTAGTAGTAGTAGTAGTAAAAGTAGTAGTAGTAGTAGTAGTGGTAGTGGTAATAGTAGTAGTAGTCGTGGTAGCATTCGTGTTATTATTATGATTAGTAAAAGTAGTAACAGTAGTCGTAATAGTCGTAGTAGTGATAGTAGTAGTAGTAGTAGTTGTAGTAGTGGTAGTACTAGTCGTCGTCGTAGTCGTAGTGGTAGTAGTCGTGGTAGCAGTAGTAGTACGAGCAGTAGTTCTAGTAGTAGTAGTAGTAGTACTAGTAGTGGCAGTCGTAGTAGTAGCAGTAGTAGTAGTAGTAGTAGTAGTAGTAGTGGTAGCAGTAGTAGTAGTCGTAGTAGCGGTGGTCGTAGTAGTCGTAATAGTCGTAGTAGTCGTAGTAGTCGTAGTAGTCGTAGCAGTCGTAGTAATCGTCGTAGTCGTAGTCGCAGTAGTAGTAGTAGTCGTCGTCGTCGTCGTCGTCGTCGTCGTTGTCGTTCGTCGTCGTCGTCGTCGTCGTCGTCGTAGTAGTAGTAGTCGTAGTAGTCGTAGTAGTCGTAGTGGTAGTAGTAGTAGTAGTAGTAGTAGTAGAAGTAGTAGTAGTAGTCGTGGTAGTACTAGTAGTGGTAGTAGCAGTAGTCGTAGTAGCAGTAGTAGAAGTAGTAGTGGCACAAGTAGTAGTAATGATAATAGTAGCGGTAATAGTAGTAGTAGTAGAAGTAGTAGTAGTGGTAGTAGTAGTAGTCGTCGTACTAGTGGTAGTAGTAGTAGTAATAGTAGTAATAGAAGTAGTGGTAGTAGTAGTAGTAGTAGTAGTAGTGGTAGTAGTAGTAGTAGAAGTAGTAGTTCTAGTAGTGGTAGTAGAAGTAGTAGTAGTAGTGGTGGTGGTGGTGGTGGTGGTGGTAGTAGTCGTAATAGGTGGTGGTAGTAGTAGTAGTAGTAGTAGTAGTAGTAGTAGTAGTAGTACTAGTAGTAGTAAGAGTAGTAATCATAATAGTAGTAGTAGTAACCGTAGTTGAAGTCGTAGTCGTGGTCGTGGTCGTGGTCGTGGTCGTAGTCGCAGTAGTAGTGGTCGTAATGGTACGCAAAAACTGCAACCCGCGAGCGGGCGGGCCCCTCGGCATGTGAGATGGCTGTCGGCCAACCAACCAACCAACCAACCAGCAAGGCAGGCAACCAACCAGTCAACCAGCCAGCGAGCCAACCAAGCAGCCAACAAGCCAAAGAACCAGCCAGCCAGCCAACCAGGCCACCAACCAACTGCCAACCAGCCACGAGGGGGCGGAGCGTGCCGAGAGGCATCTCTGAATAAAGCTGGCGGTGGCGGCGCGCAAATATGCAATCCGAGCGGTTTTTGTTTCGCCACGGCGGCGAGCGGTTGTCCCCGCGGGCAGCTGAAGAATTCCGAAGAATCCGAAGGATCCAAAAGAATTCCGAAGAATCCAAAAGAATCCTGAGGAATTCCGAAGAATCCGAAGGAATCCGGAAGAATTCCGGAGAATCCGAAGGAATCCGGAGGAATCCCGAAGAATCCGAAAGAATCCGGATGAATTCCGAGATTCCCATCCATGGTTGTAATTGGTTTCATTTCTGGGTGGAGTTGGTCTCGCTTCTGGTTGCAATTCGCTCCGAACGGTTGGAATTGGGACAAATCGGTTGTAATTCGTTCCATTTCGGGTCCGAACCCCCAACCCCCCCCATCCACTGGTGCACTTTCGCTAAAATGCGCGTATGTATGAAGATGTCGTGGCATGCACGGCCATGCAAAATTATACCATGTACCGTGGGGATGTGTTACGGTATGATGTGATATGCCATCGTGTGTCGTGCCACGAAAAAACTTGTAGTGGCATGGTATCGAATGCTATGCTATGTTATGCGTTGCTGTGTTATGACGCGCGGTTAAATTGCATGTGTGTATATTGTTCACGATCCGTTATGTCATAAGTTATGGGGTCATGATGTGTTGGTATGTTCTGTGATGTGCCGAGATGCGTCAGGTTACTATCATGTCGTGGAAGGCGCTATGAAATGACAATGTGTGCTGGAATGCGGTATGATGCCATGATGTCTCACGATCTGCTCTGTCATACTACGTTGTCTTAAAATGGTTCGGTATGGTATAGGTGCATTGCCATGCCATGTGATGTTATGCGCTGTGATGTTGTGTGAAGGTATGCTTTTTTTTTCTGCCAGGGCGTTCATGTTATGGCATGGTATGCAATGGCACGGCATGATATGCGATGATGGTATGTCATGTGGTGTGGTGCTATGATTCGTGATGTGTAATATGGTGAAACTTACCTTATGGTGTAATGATATGTGGTGTTCTGCCATGCTGTGATACATGTGTCGCGATGTGTCATGGTATGGCGTGCCATGTTATGGAATGCTCTGTGCTGCGACGATGTGCCATGTTATGCTTTGCTTCGCGTTCGCCGAATATTTTTGTTGGTCGCAGCCGCTAGCGAATGCGCAGGCGGCGTCAAGGGTCGCCCCGGGCTACGGGCGGAACCGAATTATCCAGCGAGCGCACTCACGGCTGCCAGCGCTGCCGCCGAGGAACGCTGAGCGGCGACGGGGGCTGAAGGCAGGCTGCAGGAGCTGCCAGGTGAGCCAGGCGGCCGAAATGCAGCCATCCCAGAGGCGAGACCACCAGGAAGACGAACGAATTGTACCCTGTCGCGCCAGGCGCCAGTGGTAGTCGTGCCACCGAGCGTGGCAAGGCGCGGGGCTGCGCAAGCAGTCCGGCGTACTTGTGCTGCATGCCAACAGTGACAACCTCACATGGCTGAACAAGAAGGCTGAACCACTCCTCAGCAATCCACGTAGGGGCGCGTCCCACCATGCAGGCGGCAGCTGCAAACACGGCCAAGCTGTGGCGGTGTCTGAGGACTAGAGGCCAGGAACACGCAAGCATCCTAGCCCGAGCTGGTCGACGTGCAAGTCACCTGGACCGTGTTCGCCGAATACTCGAGGCAAGAAGAATCGGGTGATACTCGGTGGACCTGGGGATCTGGCGTTCGCGGTATGCAGATTGGGCGGGTCTGCGCGAGGCCGGAAACTCGGGGGATACCCGGTGGATCTGGCAGCCACGGTAAGCGGACTGGGCGGGTCGGGAAGCCTGTTCTGAAAAACAAACAACCCCAGCCGGTCGGGTGCGGAAAAACAAAAGAAAAACAGTGTTTAAAATCCTGTAGAAAAAACACGCAGAGAGGGCCGAGTATCTTCGGGAGGGAGTCAAGGAAGATAGGAGAATAGTATTCATGTTGTTGAATTGTGGTGGGGGAGGGAAGGGGCGGCCAGAATTCCTCGCAGAAGCAAACAAACGGTGGTACAGGGGCGGCTGCGTCAAATTCTCGACCTCGAAACGGCGAGAGGACGGCCACGACAACGAGGCGGCGGTCTTCATCATCAGCATCACATGATGATCATCATCATCATCATCATCATCATCATCATCATCATCATCATCATCATCATCATCATCATCGTCATCACCATCATCAACATCATCATCATCATC